GGTCCAGTTCTTTTTCTAATCATTTTAAAGATTAATACTTTATGAAGTTTATTCTTTACTAGAGATCTTCCAAAGAACAAAAACAAAATCTATTTTTCATTAATAGAATAAACTCATGATTTTGCAATTACCATATGGGTAATTTCTAAATCTGATGTATGATGGGATCTTAGCAATCTTATTTTTCCTAACCTTGATATTCAAAATTATTGATAATTCTTTCACATTATCAATTATTCCCAACTATGCTGACAAAAAGACTAAAATGGGAAGCATGGTAGAAACACCCAAAAGGATGACACAGTGTGAAATAAGTCATCACTACTGCATAATCCTTCAGTTTTACTTTTGTACTGCGCTAATATATTATCATTTTTTTTAGTTGGAGTCTCACTCTGTCCCCCAGGCTGGAGTGCAGTGGCACACCATGGCCACCCCAGCACTGACCTGCTGGGTTCCAGAGATCCAGCCTCAGCCTTCCAATTAGCCGGAACTACAGGAGTGCGCTACCACCCCTGGCTATACTATCTTTTAATAAGGTATTAAAGAGTTTAGATACATCATTTTTGTAATCGTCTTTGAACACAGCTGAGAAATCAAAATTCTTAATTTTTTGTCCTTAAAGCAAATAGAAAAAAAAATGAGTGAGGAAAATTTAGACAAAGCAAAAGATAAAAGGCAAAGAGGCACATAAACCTCGAGACTGGAGTTTCCCACTACTGATATTCTGGATCAGATAACTCTGTATGGTTGGGAACTGCTTTGTACATTGTAGGATATTTAGCAGCATCCCTGACCTCTATCCAGTAGATGCCATGGCATCTACTACCTCCTATGCCCTGGTTATGACAATCAAAAATGTCTTTAGACATTGCCAAATATTCCCTGGAAAAAAATGGTCCCAAGTTAAGAATCACTGCTCTACATTCTGATAATGATGGTGAAACGAGTCAGATTATGGTTTTCAGGTGATGATATACTGTATGAATGGTCTCACTTAAGAAAAGGAATGAACAACATATTTCTAAGGACAAAAAGAAAATATAGTTATCTTCATTTAGTCAGTTAATAGGAATAACTTCAAATTACAATATTTTGTGACAAAACAGACCATCCCATTTTGCTAAAAGGATGTGTGAAAATATTCTTCCATCTTTTATGATATTTGTACACCAAATATACTTAATAAGGTTCATAAGAGGACAATGTTGAAGGCAGGAATGTAAGTAAAAGTATATGGAAGGAAATAGATGATATAGAAATGAAAAAAATTCATAAAAATGTTTTACAATTATGTAGCAAAGCTAGCCATCTTTCTTCAACAAAATTATGAGTTCTAACCGGGCATAGTGGCTCAAGTCTGTAATCCCAACACTTTGGGAAACCGAGGTGAAAGGACTGCCTGAGCAGAGGAGGAGGAGGGAGAGAGTGAGAGGGAAAGAAAGAAAACAAATAAGCAACAAAGAGCAACTAAGGTCTTGAAGAAAGGAAATATACTGAGGCAAAGTCAGTACAGTAAATTCCCTACTAATTCAGTCCCCTACCAAGTGCAATCTTCAAGTTGTGAAATTCCAAAGATGCAAATGTACATTCAAAAGTCCAACCATGTAAGTTAATTCACGTCTTCAATGTCATACACTGTCATGTGCATAGACACATGTACAGAGTACAGTAGCACAGTATCTTTATTTCAAGCCCAGGATACATTATAAACCTATACAATACAGTACTATATAGCTGATTGTGTTAGTTGGGTGCCTAGGCTAACTTTATAGGACTTATGGACACACTCTCGGAAGGGGACTCATTCATTTGCAGTGGACTTACTGTAGTCTCTGCTTCTTTCTTCTTTGAGAGATCTGCAGACCCTAAACAGTGCTGTAAGAAGCTAAGAAGTTATACAAAGAGGAGCCGGTAAGAGGCTAAGATACTACGTAAACCATTTTGTAGCTTTCCTGTGCTAGGGAGGCAAAAATTGGAGTCCAGGGCCCACCAAAAGAGAGATGGCCTGGTAACACCACTGGCTTTAAGTCAAAATCCCCAAGGGATCATGTCCTAGGCACCTAAGGGGGGGGGCAAAAAAGAAGAGACTCACAAAATAACTGAAATTAAGTCTCTAATCCTATCAATCCTAAATTGGATGAAGCTGTCTACCACAATATTAACTAACTACCAAAAGAAAATTCTCTTTGGGAAAAAAACAGCATCCAGAGCTTAATGATTTTTATATATTGTGTCCAACAATCAAATTTAAAAAAAAAAAAATCAAGCATGCCAAAAGGCAGAACTAAACCAAAACAGAAAAACAAAATCCACCCATAAGTAATTAAGATACTGGAGTTATTATGCACAGTCTTTAAATTGCCTGTGATTAATATGTTCAAAGAGGCCAGACTCGGTGGCTCAGCCTGTAATCCCAGCGCTCTGGGAGTCTGAGGTGAGCGGATTGCCTGAGCCCGCGGGTTCAAGACCCACCTGGGCAACTTGACAAGACCTCATCTCTACAGTAAAACAAAAAATTAGCCGGGTGTGGTAGCGCGTGCCTGTAGTTCCAGCTACTTGGAAGGCTGAGGTGGAAGGATCACCGGAGCCCAGTAGGCGAGGCTGCGGTGGCCGGGAGCAGCCACTGCACTCCAGTCTGAGCAACAGAGTGAGACTCCAACTCAAAAAAATATATATATATATTCAAAGAAAAAAAATGAAGAATTTCACCTGACAACTGGAGGCTATCAAGAGTGAAGACTAAATGTAAATTCCATAACTAAAAAAGTAAGTTCCCTACTAATGAAAAACTCAGTAGGTTTAACAGCAGATTCAATACAGCAGAACAGAGACCTGGAAGATAAATCTGAAAATTATCCAATTTAAGCATGAAGAAAATAAAAAGATAAGAAATACAGAAAAAATGCAAGAGAGATATGAGACACGGTGAAAAGTCTATAGGTGGAACATCAGAAGTGGGACAATGGAGTAGAAACATTATCTGAAGAGAAAGTGGCCAAGAATATTTCAAAACTGAAGAAGACATCAAGCCACAGATTCAAGAAACTCTACAAATCCCAAGGATACCTGGACACGTTATAGAAAAACTGCTAAAGACCAAGGACTTAAAAGCATCACAAGGGAAACAAAAAGACATATTACCTTTCAAAAAGCAACAATAATCCTGACAGGTGATTTTCTTTTTAAACAGAAACCATGGAACCTTTAAAGTACAAGGGGGGAAAGAATCTATCAACTTAGAATTCTATACCCAGCAAAGATATCACTCAAAAATGAAGGCAAAATAAAGACATTCTCAAAGAAACAAAAAACTGGTAATGTATCATGAGCAAAGCCTAAGAGTAACACTAAAGAGAATTATTCAAGCAGAAGGAAAATACAAACATAATGCTAGAGACTCAGAAAGGAAAAAAGGGCAATAGAAGTAGTAAACACCTGACAATAATAGAAAGTAAATCTTCTTTGAGTTTGAAACCTTTACATGTCCCGGAAGTGAAATACATACTATTTTAATAAGCCAAGGATGTATATTTTAATTTCTAAGACAACCACTAAGAGAATAATGTAAGTATTACAGGGGGAAGGGGTAAAATATAATTAACAAGCCTATAGAGAATAAAAATAGAATAGACAAATAACTGATTAATCAAAAAAAAAAAAGACAAATGCTAAGGCAATAAAAAATACCAAAATCATAGACTGACATGCAAATACATCATAACTACACTAATAAATGGACTAAATACTTAAATTAAAAGACAGTTTTTATTGGATAAAAAAATTCAGCTATATGCGACTTACACAATACATGACTTATATGTAGCTATACAAAATGTCTAGAATAAAAGAACAGAAAGGATATACATGCAAAAACTCACCAAAAGAAAGCTGATATAGATACATTTTAAGGCAGGAAATATTATTAAAGATAAAAAAGACAGTATATAATAAATCAGTAAATTATAAAGGAAAATATAACAATTCTAAGTCTGTGAACACCTAATCACACTGCCCTAAAACAGAAAACACAAAAGAGTAGTACAGACTATATGATTCCACTTATTTATAAGTTCAAAAAGTCAGTATAGTGGCTACCTTTGGAGGACTGTATTAACTTTGAAGTGTCATAAAGGAAACTACAAAAGTGTTATTAATGTTCTATTTTTTGATCTGAGTGGAGGTCCCAAGGTGTGTTCATTTTATTAAAATTCATAAAGTTGCTTGCTTATAATTTCTGCATCTTTTGGTATGTTTATTATCCTTCCTTTAAAACAAACTGTACAAATAATATAAAAGAAAAGCATGAAGGTGATTCAAGACAGTGATTATCTCCAATGAGGACAAGAAGAAAGGACTGAACATAGAACACCTTGAGTTTTACCAGTATTGGTAACATTCATTTCTTAAACTGAGTGGCTTGTTCACTGTACTACTATACTTTACAATACACGTTACATATATGCTTTTGTATACATGAAATACTTCAAAATTTTTAGAAAGAAATTCCTTATCATTAACACATCAACAGTAACTTGTCTGTGGTTAGACAGTAGGCTATTTTATTTTTATTATTTTTACTTTTCTGTATTTTCCAATTTTTATAAAATCAAGCTTGATAACTCTTTAAATACTAATTTTTAAAAGGAAAAATTTACCCTAATTTTCTACATCAGTTGTCTACAAAACATTTTATATAAAACATGCTTTCTTTCCCACAAATAAAGTTTAAAACAGCCATACAATAGTTGACAGGCAAATTAAATGACTATTGCAAAAAGAGGCATTAAGAAACTTTTTAGAATAATGGACATGTTCTACAGTTTGACTGTGTTGACAGTAACACAGACATACATATTTATCAAAACTCTCTGAATTGGAAAGTTAAAATCAATGCACTTAATCAGACGTAAACTATATACCAATAATGTTAATTTTAAAAACTATTATTGCCCACATACATTAGAAGAAATTAGAAAAGAACAATTTATATACAGTACCTACAAATTCCACAGTTTTCACAATGATACTGCTTCTTATCTTTGTCAAACAGATGGCATATATTGCAGTAATATTCTCCAAACAATGTGCTACATTCTTCACAAGTCTGTTGGGCCTAAAAAAGACACACAATTAAAAATTGGAATAAAGTAACTGAAACGTTTTCAGTCACTAATTAAATATACAGTATTTATCTTAAAGTATATACAGTTTTGTACGTTTTTAAACATTTAAAGATATGACTTACTCTAAGAGTTTAAAAATTAAAAGTCTTATTTGCAATACTTTTAATTTTTTTTAATCCACCTTCATAAGGCTTTTAAAAAAGAAAGATAAGAGAAATATGTCATAAACTCTTACGTGCTGCATTTTTTCACAGCTTATACACTGCACTTCCTTCACTTTAAAGCGATCCAGTTGATGATCTTCATTGTTATCATGACACAATCGGCAAGTATAAAGCTTGTCACAGCAAGGTGCCTAACCCCCAGAGGGAAAAAGACAGACATAAGAAGAAGAAAGAAAAGACACATTTGCAATGCAAAAAGAAAATTTCTCCCTTCCCCTCCTGAAACTCAGAGTACAACCAACAGATCAGTTGTAAACTGATCCTAAACACAGTATCTCACTGTTTCCTGGCATACTTTATGTTAACTCTTCCTTTCAATATCAATGTCCGTGTGAAGTTAAACACAACTTAAAGAATTATAAAGGATGGAAATCCCTAGACTGAAAAACTAAGCCCAGTACACTCCAATCTCATTCTCAGCCTAAACAGAAGACAGGCAACCTCTTCTTAGACATTTCCAAATAAATGCATTTACATTAAATACTGTAAAGATTATACTTTTATTTCACTTATATTTACAAATCACCGACTATATACTTAATATTGCAAAGAATGCAATAAGTATAAGAGATAGCCTTTGTTTTAAAGAGTGGCAAAGACTGCCAGTTGTCCACCAAAATCTAGTCTCTCTTTCTTGGACATGTGATTGTCCACTTATAATACCCAGATGGCCATATGTTCCTAAAACATGACAAAATAATACAAAAGAAAAAACTTGTTCCTGGAGTGACTATGTGGAACAAAGCCTTGTCACCAAACTAGATTGCTCACCTTGGAATTATTACACAGGAAGAAATAAAATCTTTATTCTTTAAACTTCATTTTTGTTGAGTCTTTTCATTATAGCAGCCTAATCCTGCCCTTACTAATATATCAAGAGATCTCTGGGCCAGTGAACTAACCCAGTAGTTTCCAATACAGTGACCTCGCAGATCCACTCATTGCCAACGCGTCTAATGCCATGACTTATAACATAGTTCATTCTTTAAAGATGGTAACACTTAATAGGCTTCCTTATCTTGGTGAACTGCATAGCCACAATGATGATCCTTCCAATAACCTGCACTCTCAGTCCCCTGACTTCCTTACTTCCAATGGTCTTGTTCCCCAACCATCCTCAGCCACAGTCTCAATCACACCATAGAGCAGTGGTTCTCAAATAGGTTGGTCTTGGGACCCCTTTACACTTCTCCAAGGGCTTTTGTTTATGTGGATTATATCTATTAAAATATATCATAAATTTAAAAGAATAGGTTTTCTTAATATCACATTTTTTTTTTATAAAGTCAGGGGTCTCACTGTCGTCACCCAGGCTGGAGTGTAGCGGCATGATCACAGCTCACTGCAGCCTCCAACTCAACTCAAGTGATCCTCCCACGTCAAACTCCCAAGTAGCTAAGACTACAAGTGCGCCACCATGCCCGGCTAATTTTTTTATTTTCTTGAGGAGATGAGATCTCACTGTACTGCCTGGACTGATCTTGAACTTCTCGGCTAAAGCAACCCTCCTGTCTCAGATTCCCAAAGTGCTGGGATTATAGGTATGAACCACCATGCCCAGCCTAAATATTACTCTTTAAAATAAAAGTAACAAAACCATTACTCATTAACATAAATAACATTTTAATGAAAAGTAACTGTACTTTCCCCCAAAAGTACCTGAATTCTCATAACTACTTCTGCATTCATTCAATCAGTTGTAGATGAAGTATATGAAGAAATTCTGGCCTCACATAAATATGTACATTGGAAAAAGGAGGAGTATTTTAATAGCCTTCTCAGAAATTATGAAGGTTAAGATGTTAACACTTAATAGGCTTCCTTTCTTTCCAACCAAAACTAAAGAACTCTTAAAAGGCAATTGCAACATGGAATCTGAAACCATTATCAATGAACTTTTCCTCTTTTGTTACATTAAAATCCATTGATCTCACACGTCAAATGGATCTTTTACTCATCCATCAGTCATTTGAAAAATACCAGTTCACTGAGTTATGCACATCTTCCAAATGTTCACACATTTGACATGTAATATCAAAAAATCTTACTTGTTAACACATTCGCAACCGGCAAATTTGTGGGTGAAAATAAAAACCTGAAGCTAGTTACCACAAACTTCTACCGTAAAGCACAAATGGTCTTTTCTAAATTGTCATCTTTTTCACAATACAGTTGAAAGTTGTAGACATATCTAGTATTTGCCTCATATACCACTCTGACTCCTATTCCGTACTTTGTATTTTTATTTAAGGATTATAAACCTTAAAAGAGAGTCTTCATGATGAGGTCAATTCATATCAACGGCAACCAGGAACAGAATTTTGAATGACATAAATTCACATTCGCAGTCGTGAATGAGTTAAGTCTTTAGGTATTAGGAAGAAAATATCATTGGAAAGTCTTTTTTAGAAGTTTCAACCTTACAAATGTCAATAAAAGTTTTCCAAAATTCTTATTTTTGCATGAAACATTGAATTGTATCACGGGCAACAAAAACTGTCAATTGTTTTCATTGTCATGAGTCTCACTTTCCTCTTTTTAGAAAAAAGATCTACCAAATACCCAAGCCTGAATGACTACAGTTTTTTCAAGTAAAAAAAAATGTTGTTCCATGAAAAAAAGCAACTAGTTCACTTTGCAATCCAACTGCACAAAAGCTTTTCCTCAAAACAACCAACTAATTTCAATTTGCAGAAGTGCTAGATGAGAACTTCCCGTTTCATCAACAGAATATTAAAAATATATGTGTTCTCCTCACACGGGGCACCAAAAAAAAAAAAAAAGTATGTATTCAATGGTTGAGATTTGATAAAATTAATGATTTTACTGTTTTACCAATGATATTTTAAGTGAACTAGCTTTTTTAAAAACTACAGGTGGAGTATAATTCAGTCTCACCATCCTGACTCGTGCTAAGGCACTAGCAGTTTTAAATAGTGTTTTCCACCATCAGTACAAGTGTCAACACACCGGAAAACACAAACAATATCTTAGTAGTCATAGAAAATAGTTTTGACATCACAAATACCCTGAAAGGGCCTCCCTCGGGGAACCCCAAACGTCCATTCACCACACTAAGAACCAACGCTCCAGAACAAGAACTGTACCTTCTCTGCATCTCAATCTCGAGCATGAAATTCTCTAATCTCTATCTCCTCTCTTTCCAACTCACCCCAGGTCTTCCCTTGCGTACAAGCTAGTTCCCTCCTCTCTTCCTCTACACACTCACCTACCACAATCCCAACCCTGGTTAAATCCAAGTCTCTCCTACTCAACCTGTCAAGAGCAACTGAATATGGCTAGAGTAATGTATCACCAAACTGCCTGGCTCGTAGCAAGTGAACTCTTAATAACCACATCTCCCAGGTCAATGCTCTCAACATTTTGGCATTTAAGGCCTAAGATCTAGATGACTTCACATCTTCTCTCTAAAACTCTAACACTTCTCTCATTACTCTGATGATGCCCTATTTCACTCTGAAAAAGGTAAAAAAAAAAAAATCCTCCTGCACTCTATTAATCTAATTGCAAACAACCTCTGCCTGCCTTCCTTTCTTTTACAAAGACTCTATAATCCATGCTTCTGCTTAAGGTCAACTCCTCAACTTGGGCACTGGATCTCAACCCCTTTGGCTCCTCCATGACAGTTCCCCTACAGTTTCCCCTCTCTTTCCTGTATTAGAAAATGTTCTCTATAGGGTCATTTCCAAGAATATACAAACATGCTCCAATCCCTCCTATCTTAAAGGGGAACAAGGGTCTCAATTCCCGGCCACCACACCTTACTTTTTTGCTCTTCTTTACAGCCAAACTCCAAGAATTGTCTCTAAGCGCTATTTCCAACTCCACTCCTCCCATTCCTTCTTGAATTCACTCCAATCAGGCTCTCTCCTGATCTCTCCATTGGAACTCCTCTTGTCAAGGTCACTAGTGATCTCTTTCTCGCCAAATTCAAAAGGCAATTCTCAGTCCTTATCTTACTCAAACAGCTGCATTTGACCTAGTTGATCACTTCCTGCTTGAAATTCTTCACTTGGCCTCTGGTATCTAAGGAAGAGGGAAGGGAAAGGCGAAAACTGTTTGACATCCATGGCCAAGTATCTCAGTGCCTATAGGATACGTATTGATAGATCTAGTTGTGCAATTTTTCTTTGTGTGGGAAGGTCAGGGAATTTAAATTAAATTCAGCCTTGAAAGAGTAGAACATCTCAGTAGAAATGAAATCAAAAGGATAGCAATCTATTTCCTTATACAACACTTGGTGAATGACCAATTTTAAAAGAGCTTCCTCCAGTGCAGTGGAGCACTGTTCACCAAACCAAGGCTTAAGAAAAGAGTCTGACTTGGAGTTGCAGGCCTGAGACTACTACCATTTGTTTGTAATGACTCTGGTCAGTGTCCAGAAGGGTTGACTAGCGCGATGACAAAAAAAAAAAAAAAAATCCAGGATGATGATGTTGATGATGATGGTTGGTGATGGTGGTGGAGAGTCTAACAGGTAACATTTAGCATCTAACATGTACCCCAGGGAATGCACTACGCATGCACTTTAGTATATAATTCCCATACTCTTTAATGAAGCAGGACCTTCTATCATTACTAGTTTACATAGGGGGTACAAAATCACGGTTCTTAAGGGGCACAGCTGCAGGTTAGGGCGGTGAGATGCCAAAGCTCCAGTTTTCTAAGCAAAACTTTGATACTACTTCTTGTAAGAAAAATCAGGAAACCTCAAGTGGATCGGTGCCAATTTAAAAAGTCACAGACTGACCAGGACGTTGTCTCAAAGCAAACAGCAAAAGTGACAACACGTGCATCCTAGGCGCTTTCCTGTACCACAGTTTCCTATTGACTGGCGATCACATGACTGTCGACCTGTTCCGTACACGCTTTTTCTCCTTGGTGGGTCTGAGCCAACGCACAGCCTCTCAAGAAAAGCCGGCCGACAGCAACGCTCATTTACTACAGAAGCCGAGAACGTAACCCGGGTCTCCAATTCTGCTCATGCTCCTTCCAAGACCCATCACATGCCTGAAGGCGGTCCCGTGGGAGAGCCCAGCACAGGCCTGGGGCTGCCTCAGCCTGCCTCCAGCAGCAGAAGACGAAGAACCCCAGTGGCGAAGAGGCCCAGCTCTTCCCAGTATGGAAGAGCGCTGCCCGCAAAGTTCAAGGTGAGGAGGCAAGGGGGCGGCGGGGCTCACGGCCGTCGAGTCGAAGGGGAACCCAGCTCCAGGTGGAGGAAAAGGTAGCCCGAACAGTCGCCCGAGCTTAGCCCCAGCCTGCCCTCCCCGCCCCCGCCCACCACGGCGGAAGCCTGTCGGGGAGGCGCCCCTTGAAGCCATCACCTTCAGGAGACATCCTCTGTCATAGTGCTCGCAGCCCCGCCGCCCTCGCCCTCGACCGCGGGCGCCATCTTCCCGCACCGCCGCCGCCATCGCCTCCACCTCCCCTCACACTCCACAGACCGTTCCTCCAGGATGAAAACCACGCCCGGAAAAAGCGGCGCCGCTCCAGCACAGCCTTCCTGGGCGCTGCTGCCACCGGAGCCAATATGGCGTCTGCGCACGTGACCCGGGGCAGCCGGATTTCCGGTTCCCGAGGCAACGCGGCGGAAGCGAGGAGAGACGCGATCTCCGTCGGCGAAGTTAGCTGCTGTCTTCGCTGCTAACGGTAATGGTTCTCAGGTGGCCTCCTCCTTTCTCTCCCCGCCATCGCCTGCCCGAAGCCCAGGGCGCGGTTCGGAGCGAGGAGGACCCGCAGCGGCGCGGAGACGCCGAGCGGCCCCGAGGAAGACACGCCCGGCGGGTGCCTCCGCACCTGTGACAGGGCGGCCCCTCCCTCGCCGGCGGGCGGCGGGAACCTGGGGGGGGGCGGGGTTCGGCCAGGCCTGGGCGTCCCCCCGCGCCATCTCTCCCCGCCCTCTCCCCTGCTCTTCGTTCATTCTAAATACGTGCGGACAGTCCAG